AGGGGGGTCTGAGGGGGGGGTGACAGTGACAGGGGGGTCTGAGGGGGGGTAACAGTAACAGGGGGGTCTGAGGTGGTTTTTGCCCCCCGGCAGCTCCAAGCCCAGCTGGGCCGACCAGGTGGAGGAGGAGGGAGGAGAGGATGGTGAGTCACACCTGGGGCACCTGGCGGGGGTGTCACCTGTGTCACCTGTGCCCAGGTGAAGGGGGTGTCTCCCCCCAGTCGAGGGGGTCACCTGTGCCCAGGTGGGTGTTACCTGTGCCCGGGTGAGCAGTTACCTGTCCCCCCAGACAAATGCATCACGAGTGAGCTGCTGAAGGACCTCCCCCTGCCCGGGGTCCTGGGGGGCCCCTCCAGCGCCGAGGCCGAGCTGCTCAAGGGAGGTGAGAGCTGGGCCAGCCCTGGGGGGTCTCACCTGGCCCTGGGTCACGCCTGGGGGGTCTCACCTGGCCCTGGGTCACACCTGGGGGGTCTCACCTGGCCCTGGACCCCCCCGCCTGTCTCTGCAGGGCCCCTCCCGTCCCCCAAGGAGCTGATCAACGGGAACATCAAAACCATCACGGAATATCGGGAGGAGGAGGATGGACGCAAGGTCAAGGTGAGGCCACGTGAGGCTCAGGTGGGCTCAGGTGCCCCCAGATGTGGGCCCCAGGTGCCCCTCCCGCCCCTCCCCCGGCCCCAATCCCTGTTTTTCCCTGTTTTCCCAGATCATCCGGACCTTCCGCATCGAGACCAGAAAGGCCTCCAAGGCCGTGGCCCGTCGGAAGGTGAGAGAATTCCTGTGGGAATGGGAGGGAATCCTCGGGAATGGCAGTGATTCCCGTGGGAATGGGGAGTGATTTCCTTGGGAATGTGATTCCATTTGGAAAGGGGATTCCCTTGGGAATGTGGAGGGATTTCCACCCACCACCTTTTCCCCTTCCATCCCCTCACTTCCCCCCCCCCGACCTTCCCCCCTGGGTTTCCCGGGATGTTCCCGTGCCTTTCCCGCTGTTCCCGCTCCCAGAACTGGAAGAAGTTTGGGAACTCAGAGTTCGACGCCCCCGGGCCCAACGTGGCCACGACCACCGTGAGCGACGACGTCTTCATGACCTTCATCACCAGCAAGG